TCGCCATCATTATTTCGAGAAGGCTGCCACCGGAACCGTGGGCTACCCCGGAAGAGAACGAGATGCAGGTTCGCCACAGCGATGATGACCACTGAGACGACATAGAGACGACAAATTCATGTGTTTTGACTATAGAAAACGTATGATATCAATGTATTTGTAGGAAGGTGCAACATCTCGAAGGAAGAGACTGGCCTATGACAAGTTTCTATTCTTGTTGTGAATACAACGTCGAACAATAAAGAGCGCTTATCGAGGGACAATTGTTGATGGCCCTCCTGACCTCAACACTACCAACTGAATGTGACCAGCAAGAAGCATAAAGCATCAATGGCTGAGGACAAAGTCAAGGAACAGACATAAATGTGGGTAAAGGGAGAGAATTCAATGGTTCAATTTGACAACTGGTTGGGTAATACATCCATTGTCTGCGGAACGAATGAAAGTTTGCTGCAGTAATACACACCTCTGATAGCTCCCAACAGTCTAGCGGGGTCTGGATGCTGGCTAGCCAATTGCACGCTTATGCCATAGAATTAAATGATAAGAAGCAAATCAGATCGTTCATTGCCTCGTATTCTAGGCGTCGAGTTGTACGAAGGGATTCTACAGAGACTGACAAGGTTTATCTGTCCAAGCTAACAGTGTTCCGAATTCGGTTCACTTTGAAATCAGTAAAGAACTTGCTCTCAGTGAAAATTTAGACGCTTGGAGGGTTAGAATTGGTTAAACACTCTTGTCTTATATATATGGGAGAGAGAGAGCAACTTGCCCTCCTAAACCATCCCTGCAACTCCTTTTATCATCCTTCGCGTTATACGTCTTAATAGTGAGGTATGAATGTCCTCCTGAACCCAACGGCGAAAGCTTTCACCACCTTGCGCCAAGATTTTTCACTCCAGCGCCTTCTAGCAGACTATGCGGACGTTAGCAGCCCAAACATCCTCATCAGGGCTTTCGTCTCTTGGGTGATGAGCGTGTTGTCCTTTCTACTTTTCACTGTCGATCAACTTCCAAAACGCATAGCGTCAAACTTTCTTCGTCCAAAGTGGCATGTTGAGAGGGCCGACGTTCCTCAAGCATTTCTCAAAGGCTCTCGTCAAGTTTTAAATCAAAGAGGCCTTTATGCCCCAAGTCAATTTCGTCCCCGCTGGCTCATCAAGGTCACTTATCACCAATCTCCAACGACTCAAGTCGATTATGAACTTCACGTAGTGGAGTGCGATAACGAGGCCGAAGCAAATAATATCAAAGAAAAGGGGTACATTGCTCTTAGCTATGCTTTCAAGAATGCAAAAGAACTATTCCTTGAGGCCAACCCTAGAATCCTAGAGCACGACATTCCTCCAGAGCCCCATGCCCCTTTGACGACTTCAGATAGACTCATGACGGCCTGGGTACAAGTAAATGCTACCAATGGACAAACTCAGAAACGATGGCGAGACGTTGCTGTCCGCCAGAGAGTTGCTATGGTCTTTCTGGACCTTTACCTGCAAACGAATTTCGCCCGTCGTGCATCCCAGGATCATTTCGACGATACAGAATACATCTGGATAGATGAATTCTGCCTTTATCCTCCAGCCCGACCTGATTTGGACACGAGAAACGAAGAGCTCGGGCGCATGGCGG